CGTTTGGTCGCTTCCAGCTCCAGCCACGCCGTGTACCACCGACAATGTCCGGCGCAGTGCTGGCTCGCTAGCCTCTCAGCCCCTTGCTAGGTTAGAGACCGTGCTGTAGCCACTGCGCCTGTCCACCCAAAAGAGGGTCTTCCTTTTTTTGTTTGTTTGCTGCCCCTCTGCTTTAACCAAGCATGAGTTACTTCTCCAGGGGCTTGTCTCCCCCTTTCCCGCCCCCCGCCCCCTTTTAAAGATCATGTCCAAAGTATGTGACACGAAGTCTCGCCATCCTTGCCCGCGATGGAGCATTCTGGCTGTACTTCTTCCAAGACAGACTGGTTTGTCCTTTCTGGCACTCCGTGCTGTGGTCATTATTTTCCGCCAAATACCGTAATTCAAGCAGGTCACATCTTTGGTCTTCCTTGGGGACTTGGCCAGCTTTTGCACGCCTGTGAGGGGGTTGAATAGATCACGGTTTGGGTCAGCACACCTTAGGCCTCAAAGCAACTTCTTTGCTTCTTAACACTTGAAAGTGGTCCTTTATATGTAGCAGTTTCTTGACTGCTGAATCTGTGAGCACTGACTGGATCCGAATACCTTGACGTCCTTGACATCTTCACTATGTTCTGCTTTTACTATGTTGTTTATCCCCAGTTATGAGGATTTTGGTGTATGTTGAGGTATGATCCGTAGCAAAGGCTGTAATCTTTGACCTTCAATAGGTGCTTCAAGTCAGCTGTAAATTGGAGATGAGTTCTAAGGGAGAGACGTGAATGAATGAATACATACATATGTAAGTCTTTCTGGAGCAGTAAGCCGTTTTCTCCTGAGAAGTGTCTTCTGGATTCGAACTACCGGCCATGTCAGCAGCCCAACATGTAACTCAGTACACCACCAGGGCTCCTATCCAGTCAAGTCAAAACAGGAGGCCCTGCAGACTTTTGTCTTTGACAATGAGGAGGAGGCTCAGTGAGGTGGCTCAGGTACCAGGCATGTAGCTTAAATTCAACGTGGAGAAAACCCTGGAAGTAAAATGCCCGAGTACATTCATTCTGAGCTTCATCATTCCTGGAACCTTAGGCTTACCTCACCAGGCTGCCCTGGGATCGGTGAATTCCATATTGGGATGGGCACCCTATTGAAATAGTATCTAAAGATTGGGGGAGGTTGGAGAGAGTATTGACAGTGTGTTAGGGGTGGCATACGTAATTTTTAGGTTAGACTTGAGCAGGGATTCTTGAATCATGGTGAGATGTAATGGACTGAGGAGGAAATGTCATGGGGAAACCTGGATTGGTGGAGAATGGTTCATTGGGGTCTTGACTTGCTTCTTAAGGCCTAGGAGGTCTATATAGACAATCCATCTCCCCTTTCATCCCCCACCCTGCCGAACACACACACAACCACTAGTGTAAGATAGTGCTGAGGAAGAGTCTTTGGAATGAATGAATATGTGAGGAGAATGACATTCTCATTCTGTACCTATTCTTTTAATCTGCCAAGGAGAGTCTCAGATTGGACTTGTCACTCCTAAGTTATGGGGATGGGAGGGAGATTGGGATTATCTCCTGATGATTTGTCCTTATTTTTGTGCATTTTGCTGATTCTGCCCTCCTGTTATCATCATAGAAAATGAGATGTTTGAACTATCCCCCCCACTCCCACCGCCACCCTCAGATTTGTGGGTGTGCAGCATGTGTTTCTTTTCCTTGAATTTCTGCCAGCAGCTTTGTCAGAGTTAAATTTTGTCTCTTCATTTGGAGTTTTGTGATTAAATGTGTGCTATTTCTTTTGATTTTTTTTTTTTAGGATGAAATTCTGAAAGCAGCAGTAATGAAATATGGAAAAAATCAGTGGTCTAGGATTGCCTCACTGCTGCATAGAAAATCAGCAAAACAGTGCAAAGCCAGATGGTACGTATCAGCTAATGAATGGAAAACAAAATGACCTTCAATGTCATGAGGAAAGATGCACTTCTCTGAACCTTATCAGAGCATGCAGGCATCATCATGTAACAATGTAGAGTAAGAGTTGGGAAACTGAATTTTAGATTTAGTTTTAACTTGCTTCCTTTATTATTTCTGAGGACACACACACACACACACACACACACACAACTTACTGCCAGCGTGTTGATTCTGACTCATAGAGCAGAACTGCTTTGGGATTCTGACAGTTTAAATCTATATGGGAGCAGAAAGCCTCATTGTTCTCCTGAAGAGTACTTGTGAATTCAAATCACTGACCTTGTGGTTAGAGCTCAATGCAGCCCACTGTTTCATCAGGGCTCCTTTGATCTTAGGGATCGTTTTTTTTAGTCCCCTCTATCTGCCCCTTTGGGGATGATGATGGTTGGCTCTAACACATGGTAGATATGGGACATTTAAATGCATTAAATGTGCTTGAGAGTGCTTTTAACAAGATAAAATCTCCTCATAGGTCAGCTCATAAGTGGATCATGTTTAAAAAATGTGTAACTTGTTGCTTAGAACTTACCCAAAGATAGACTATTAGTTGACTTTTTGTTGTGTTTTTCTTCTCTTCCTTTGCTAGCTCATCATAGCTGTTTCTTCATATGACAATTGCAGTACTGTGTATTTGTCACCTCCAAAGCATATCCCCAGCCAGCACTGCACCTGTGGTGTCCCCTTTCAAATCACAGGGAGTGGGGTCATTAAGCCACTACTGACCACGTTGGTTCCTGCCATGAGTGGTCTAGTGCCAGTCTTGACTGTGGTACTAGCAATATATTTTGGATAAGACAAGAATGGCCTAATTTCCTAGGCACCTGGGAGAGTGAGGGGCCGGAATGTAGAGAGTGGACCCCCAAATGGAAGATGGGGTTCTGATTTCTGCTTCTCTTAGGGAGCTAAACTTTTGATCAGTGTTTGGTAGGAACCACATCCAGTTTGCCTGCTCCTCATCCATCTAAGTAGACTGGCAGGACAGGTGAGTGGGTAGGGCGTTAGGAAACACAGGGTGACATAGTAGCTTTACTTAAATTGAAAAATGTTTGCCTTTTAAAATTATATAATATTTTTATTGACATCTTACTCATTCCACTATATCACTGCCCTTCCCATATAGTTTGGTTGTTCAGTTCCATTGCGTGGGGTTTTAGAGTCATCAATGCTATCCACTCCCCTCTGCTCCTATTTGCCTTTAAAATGTTAGGCAAAAGGTTTCTTTGACCTGGGAAAGCATGCCCTGAATCTAAGGCAAATGCTTAAAGAAATTAGATAAGAGAATCAAGCCAAAGTGTGAGAAAATGCTAGAAACTAGAAACACTCTCAGGTAAGTGATTGAGTTATTTCCAAACAACTTCCAATAATTTCAAAGCCTCTAATAAAAGTGTAAAATAAAGGAAAACTGTTGACAGTTGAAAAGAAGGCATGGGATCATGTTTCACTGAAGTTGCATCTTCATAATTAAAAGAAAGTGGCGTTTGGTGAGATTAGGTTTATAGAGAGAAGAGTTGAACCAGACAGTGAAGCTGCTGTGAAGAATAGTGCCCCCACCTGAGGAAGTAGTTAGCCTGTATTTTCAGATATTGGATGCCATTGTCTTCAGGTGCATGAGTAGGATTCAGGCTAGGTGATGGATTAATGTATAAAGTGGTATCTTCATAATAGGTATGAATGGCTGGATCCAAGCATCAAGAAAACGGAATGGTCGAGAGAAGAGGAGGAAAAACTCTTGCACTTGGCTAAGTTGATGCCGACTCAGTGGAGGACCATTGCTCCAATCATTGGAAGAACAGCTGCCCAGTGCTTGGAACACTATGAATTTCTTTTGTAAGTGGATCTCTAAAAGCAGCATAAAAATGTGTATCATCTGAAGGGGGCTGAATATCTAGTATTTCCTGTCTTTAGACCAGTCTTTCCCGATACTGCGCGATACTGTCATCTAGGGGGTGCCGGACTGATCAAGGGGGCTGCAAAAGCAGATTCCTACATGTTATCCTAGTTTTGGGCTATAGTACAGAAATTTTTAATCACCAGGGTGGCACTGAGTAATTTTCTTCCTGAAAAAGGGAATCGTTTGACCAAATAGACCAAATAGTTTGGGGATTTCTGCAGATCGGAGTGACAACCGAAGCAGCTAAAGCTATGAGATGATTTCCTCTCAGTCACCTGTGCTGTGGTTCTGACTCAGTGGCTCCATGTACTTCTGGTCCTTGCTACCTCACATCGTTTCTGTGTTTAAATCCATTGTTGGCAGATACTGGGTCAGTCCACCCTGTGAAAAGTTTTTTTTTTTCGTACCCATTCCTTTACCAAGCAGGATGCCCTTCTCCAGGGACTGTTTTTCCTGTAACATGTCCAGAGTCCATGAGACGTGGGCCGCCACCCTTGCTTCCAGGAGCGATCTGGCTGTGTTTTTTCCGAGCCAGATGTATGTCTTCTGGCAGCCAGCTTGCTGCTGCTGCTGTTGGGTGCCCTTGAGTCCGTCGTGCCGCATAGCAGCCATCTGTGCGCAGAATGGAACGTCGCCTTGCAGCCCTGGGTCAGTCCATCTGGCTGAGGGCCTTCCTTTTTTCACTGCTTCTCCACTTTCCCAAGCACCGTGTCCTTTTCCAGGGATTGGTCTCTTCTAATAACATGCCGAAAGTACGTGAGACAAGGCTGGCCTTTAGGGCAGCGGTTCTCAACCTGTGGGTTGTGACCCCTTTGGGGGTCGAACGACCCTTTCACAGGGATCGTCTAAGACCATCAGAAGACAGCGCCCACATGCAGGTACACCCACATACGACTAACCGGTGTGAAGACTGTTACCCATGCTACACCATGCTTCAAGACAAAGTTTCATTTATTTGTCATCAGAAAATTTTTTTTTAGAAATATTTCACAATATGTAATTACATATTGTTTTTGTGATTCATCATTATGCTTTAATGATGTTCAATTTATAACAATGAAAATACATCCTGCATATCAGATATTTACTTTATGATTCATAGCAGTAGCAAAATGACAGTGATGAGGTAGCAACAAAAATGATATGGTTGGGGTCTCCACCACATGAGGCACTGTATGAAAGGGTATCGGCATGAGGAAGGTTGAGAACCACTGCTCTAGAGCATTCTGGCTGTATTTCTGAGACTCAAAAAACCAAATTCCCTGTCATTTGAGTCAGTGCCGATTCTTAGTGACCTTATGAGACAGGGCAGAACTGTCCTGGTGAGCTTTTGAGACTAACTCTCCACCCCCCCACCCCCCCAACCATTTTATTAGTAACTAATCCAGACATCATACCATTCCATAGTTCATTCTCATTAAGCAGTATTGTACAATTGCTACCACAACCAGTTTCAAGAGATTCTCTATGGGAGTAGAAAACCCCGTCTTTCTCCCAAGACAGATTTGTTTGTTCTTTTGGCAGTCTGGTACTTTCAGTATTCTCTGCCAACACCTTGGTTATAATGCGTCAACCCCCCCCACTCCCCCCTTATTCATTGTCCAGTCCAACTTTCACATGGATATGAAGCGATTGAAAATACAATGGGTTGGATCAGGCGTATCTTGGTGCTCAAAGTAACATCATTGTTTGAACGCTTGGTCTAGATTGCTGCTTCCATGAGCATTGGTTGTGGCTCTAAGCAAGCACCATCAAATGCTTCAGTTCTTCTCTAGTCTGCCTTACTTAGATTGCTGCTTCCATGAGCATTGGTTGTGGCTCTAAGCAAGCACCATCAAATGCTTCAGTTCTTCTCTAGTCTGCCTTACTTAGATTGCTGCTTCCATGAGCATTGGTTGTGGCTCTAAGCAAGCACCATCAAATGCTTCAGTTCTTCTCTAGTCTGCCTTACTGAGCAACTTTCAAATGCACATGAGGTGATCGTCTTCTGTAAATACTTTCTAAAAGATCAGTTTAATAAAAGGTGTTCATCACAGACAATTTGGGGACAAACTAGTAAAAGGGAAATTAAAATCGCCCCTAGTTACTCTGCTGAGAATGGAATTGGAACATTTTGATTCTTTGCTAATAGTCTTACACATTTGTTTGACTTTGCTGCATTTGCGATTACGGCGCTCCTTGTACCCAATTTCATGGTGAAGGGAAACACTCCCTGAAACTTGAGAGAATCTTAATGTCGCCTCTCATTAATATAATACCTGGAACTCGGGTATTTGTTAGACTAAGCCGTGCAGTAATGTGGCGCACTCATCTGGCCTCTCTTCTAGGGATAAAGCTGCTCAGAGAGACAATGAGGAGGAAACAACAGATGATCTACGGAAACTTAAACCTGGAGAAATAGACCCAAATCCAGAAACCAAACCAGCGCGGCCCGACCCGATTGACATGGATGAGGGTGAGTGTGATGGAGCTCGTCTTCTCCACTGTTCATCACTTCTACGTTCCCCTCTCTTTGTAGACCCTCCGTTTTGTCAGTCGTTGTGGTTCTAATTCTCTTTCCATACATGACCGACTTCTTTTTTGTAGTTAGTGTTTTTGGACAGTGTCAGTTTGTTTTGTGTCCTCTGTTCATGTTCTAGATTCAGCAGTGGTAGACAACTAGTTGTGGACTCTTGAAGGTCCTGTCTTCTCATTCCCACTGTACAGAGAGAAGCAAGCACTCAAGACATCGGGTCCCAGTCTCCTTAGTGACTACCTGTCTGACTTGAGGCAGGTCATTCATCTGTGTGAGCAGGCAGCCCTGTAGCCCTGTGAAAAAACTTAGGATGATTCCATGAGGCACTGAATCGAGACCCACAGGAACTGGATTTTAAATGCAGGTCTGCTGCCCATTAGTTATAACCATAGGCAGAAGCTATAATCTCTGAGCTTTGATTCCCTGGCGTGCCAGATGGAGATAATAATGTCTACTGTTCTTCAAAGGGTCACTGTTTCTTGGTTTTTAAAGTGGAATGCTTAAAGGTAGTGGCTTCCTTAGAGCTGGGCTGGCTGCATGGTGGTCTCTCGGGGAACTCTAAAGATTACAGAGCGCACTGCTTCCCTGGAGAGACCGGGTCAGTAGTCTGGAGGGCCATCCTGGAATTTTAGTTTTTAAAAGTTCTTCTCATGAGATCCCTTGGCTCCGTCTTACATGGGAATTGGCCAAAGAAAATTTTCCCTAGAGAACCTGGAAAGTATATGGAAGAGACCTAGTTTTGAGAAGAAAAGATGCAATTGAATGAAAACTAGTTGTTCCCTCCTAATTAGATCATAAGTGTTAGGATATTTCAGTTTGTGCAGTCTCCATGTAGTTGTGGATAATGAACGAGGACCATTAGTTTAGCAACTCACTATTTGTTATTTGTACTTTATATACCTTGTCATTTGTTTACATATTTAAATTCCAGTAGAGATTAAATTTTACTTGGCTCCTTTCAGCAGTCCTGTGCAGTAGGACTTGTTATTCCTATTCTGTGAATGATGAAACTGGGACAGGGTGGGTAAATGACCCATGGAGAGAACATGGTTGTAAGTAGTGGGCCTGCTTTTTTTAAAATTAAATAATCATTTGATTAGGGGCTCATACAACTCATCACAATCCATACATATCATCATTTGTGTCCAGCACATTAGTACATGTGTGGACTTCATCATTCTCACAACACCCGCTTTCCACCCGAGCCCTTGGTGTCAGCTCCTCATTTTTCTCCCTCTCTTGCCCCTCCCCCTGCCCTTGAACCCCTGATACTTTATAAATTATTATTTTATCATATCTTACCCCATCCGACGTCTCCCTTACCCACTTCTCCGCTGTCCGTCCCCCAGGGAGGAGGCCATAGGTAGACCTTGTCATCTGTTCCCCCTTTCTCCCTCACCTTCCCTCCACCCTCCTGGTATCGAGTGGGCCTGCTTTTTAACCTGGCTTTCTTCCTCTCGACTCTTAGGCCGAAGCTGTTCCCATTTGTCCCCATATCACAGTAATGGTCCTTCTTGTCTTTACCAGTAGGGTAGTCTAGCGATTGTTAGTGCCTTGAGCTGTGTTTTAACAGTATAGGAAAAATGTCTACAGTTACTTAGTTTACTCATTACTCTTTGATTCTGTTGGAGAACATTTATTTTGGTCTATATTTTCAGATGAACTTGAGATGCTTTCTGAAGCGAGAGCCCGCCTGGCTAATACTCAGGGAAAGAAGGCCAAGAGGAAAGCAAGAGAGAAACAGTTGGAAGAAGCAAGGTACGGCTGTCCCTGTCCGTAGTTTAATATTCAGTCCATGCACCCTTAGCCGCTGGGTTTCATGATTTCTCAACCCTGTTGGTTAAGCAGCAGTCGCACACTTCTCATTTGGTGTATAATCCTTAGCTTTATTGCTTTGAAAAATATTTGAAAAGTTTTCCCCTCTAATCATTCCAGAATAGTTAGAGAAAAAATGATTTCCTTTTTATCTTGTAAGATGTTCCAGAAGTAATATCAGATGTGTTGGGCTTGTACAGTAGGCACAGCAGGGAGTCAGCCAAGGAGTCAGGTGGCTAGAGGACACATGAGATGGGGTGACTTATATGTCTGTCAGCTAGTTATTATCCTTGAGTTACTATGCTATGGGTGTTGGGTGGGCACTGGGAAACTCACCTGAACATAGGGAGTTAATGAACCTCGAACTAAACTGTAGGCTCCCATAGAAATTCAACGATTTTCATCATAAAAGACTGTGAAAATGTGTACATACCCTTTATCCAACGCTTTCTCCACGCTTCTGTTGTTTTCTTCCTCCTTTGATGAGTTGATCCATGGTGGTCCTGAAGCCTGTTGTGCAATTAGATTTTGAGATTGAGGCTCTGGACACCATTTGTGGTCCCCAGGCTGGGATATGCATCTTGCCCCGACAATAAGCATGACATTGATGATTTTCCCAGTAATGTGCTAGATCCCAGCACGGAGCATTTGTTCTTGCCTGGGGATGTTGGTGGCAGAACCTGGAGTAGGTGCTTATGGATGGGAAGGTGACCAGTATTGGGACAGTAAACAAATCAAGTTCCACCCAGTCTCAGCCATCATTCTATTCTACTGTATTTACTGTGTAAGGGTCAGTGGCTCTAGTGGCTCAGAGCCATGGTGGTACAGTGGTTAAAGCACTCACTGCTAATGAAAAGTTGGGCAGTTCAAGCCTGCCAGCTGCTTGGTGAGAAAAAGATATCATGGCCTTCTTCCTTGCAGACGGACAATCTTGGAAACCCTATGGGACTGTTCTACTCTGCCCTATAGACTTGTTGTGAGTCGCAGTTGACTTGCTGGCAGTGGGTAGCTCTTGTGGAACAACTGTTAAATATTAAGCTGCTAACCCAGAGGTTGGTGTTTTAAACCCAGCCAGCAGCTCAGCTGTAGGAATACTTGGTGGTCTCCCGTACAGGTTAAACCAAACTGCAAATTCACTTCTGTTAAGTTGATTCCAACTCATGACAACCTGGTAGTGGCCATAAAAATTACAGCTTAAAAAAAAGGCGTCACCTAACAACGATAACAATGTGTGATTCAGGTTGAAAAGGTTACTTTTTTATTTTTGTTCATGATGGTTTTGGGGACCAAATTTTTAAGAGTCTTTTAATCACATAGACTAGAACCAAGGATATGGTAAGTGTGTATGTGAAAAATCTCCAAGTGTGTCTGGTGTTTTTTTTTTGTAGCTTGATTTAGCATACCCATCTTCAAAAGTGGTGTACATACATCTTATAGTTGGGAAGATTGGCTGTACAAGGTGTAGATGTGATAATGGCTACAACATTTAATGCTAAATTTCATATTTATTAACTTTTATTATAAAAGAATACGTCTTGGCCTTTTGGCTAAGATCGAGTGTAGTATCTGTTCTTGTCAGTTTAATATCTGATACGTAAAAAAAGGAATGCGTCTCATTCCATTGTTAGTGTGTGTTCATTTTGGGGCCTGGTTGGCGTTATAGTTAGGACATGGTCTTTCTATCCCATTACAGGTATGTTGTAAAGGTTTTCTGATGCAATTCGAAGTCCTTATTTCCTTTATTTGAAAATGAAGTTACCGTGACATTTTGAAATATATACTTCTAAGCCTGGTACTTAATATATGTGCATGTCTTCATACAAATGCTAGTGCTATGTAACATCGAACCATGCTGTATGTACTGCTTTGCTGGGAAGTTCGCTATCAAGTTTACTTGCATTCCCTTTGACTTGATTGTCTTCTTTTTGAAGCTTTCAAGGTTTTTTCTTCTTGTCTTTGGCTTCCAGCATTTTTATGCTGTGTCTGTCTGTGTTCTCGGTGTTTGTCTTACTTGGCGTTCATTGAGCTTCCAGGAAATGTAAGTGAATGTTTTTTTCAGTAAGTTTGGGAACTTTTCAGGCATTATGTTTTCAACCCGCCTCTTTGCTCTCCTGATAAACCATTATGTATGCGTTATCCTACTGAATGGTGTCTCACCTTTCTCTTGTGATTGGGCTCATAATTCTTTTTCTGTTTTCTCTCTGTTCATTGGGATGCTTAATCTCTCTCTTCTATTTTTCCAGTTTTCTAATATTCCTGCTAATTCAAATATACTGTGATACTCCTATCCCATGCCCCCCCTCTTGTTAAATTAAAGACATTTTTTTT